GAAGCTAGTCAAGAAGATGGAGTAAACCCTGTTACTTGGGGTACATTTGCTGGCAAAGAGATTGTTACGCCTACTATCATTGAGGCTGTCAGTTTCAGGAGTTGGCTTGACGAGGCGTTTAGCATCTTCAGGGAGTGGCAGAGGATTTACCCGCCGAGGAGTGCGAGTAGTACACTACTTGGAAAACTGAGGCAAGATTATTGGCTTGTCAATGTTATTTGGGGTGATTTTGTCAATGGTGAGGGGCTGTGGGAGTTTTTGGAACAGTAGCTTGTATTGTAGATGTAGGTATGGGAACCTTACGAAACTAGGGCATCGTATACGCCATTCAGACGCGCCTTGTTTGCCTCCAACATCCGTGACATAGCGTAAAACCATCACAATTCGTTGATTTCTCATGCGCGCGCCAATCATCTTTCTTGCGTTGGCACTTGTCCCCAAGGCTGGAACGCCACTTCCCTTCTATTGGAGTCAACCTGACCCAGGAAGGAAGCACCCCTACCCCGCCCTGCAGACGCCCATCACGACGTGTTCATCTACGCCATTTCCCCTCTTTTTATACACCGCTTGTCCGTTTTCCATCGACGTCGCTTTGGTACGACCACGAGAGATGGCTCATAGCAACCCAGCAAGTTCCTTATCATGGACCGGGACTCTTTTGGCCCCATTCGCTCGCAGGCGATATCGTACGGTGAACGATCTGGCTCGTCGACCGCCGGGACCTTGGCCAGTGAAGGCGGAGGATTCGGGGAACAAGTATGACAGAAGCGATGAAGAATATGGCAGAAGCGATAAAGAATACGAGACAAGCGATGAAGAAGAGGAAGAAGAAGAAGATCAAAGTTCACAGCCCAGTAACGACGACGACGAAGAAGAAGAAGAAGAAGAAGAAGCGGAAGCAGCAGAACAAGATAGCGACGACTACGGAGAACACGCGAACAAAGAAGATGCAAGCCTACAAGCCGAATCTCGAAGCACTTACCCAATCGATGAAGATCAGTCATCCGCAGATGATGACTTTATTGTAGTGAAGGGAGATCCGACCTCTCAATCAGTCATCGCAGCCTGGAACAGAACCTTCTGTGGCCAATCTCAGTTGATACTGGCACGTGAAGACGCACTGCCGTTCACTATAGGACAGAGACTGGGTGGCGGCGGTGTCGGGATCGTTTTCGAGACACACATTGAAGGCCTCCCGCTAGCCCTGAAACGCACCTACACGCGCCGGATCTCTTCTCAGCAGCTCAACGAAATCAAGATCCTTGGCCGAATCTCGAAGCATCGCCACCGTCATGTTGTGGAGTTGATTGGATCCTATCTGCATGAACAAAGAAGGGGGTTTGAGATTGGCATGTTGATCTGGCCAGTTGCTCAGACGGACCTCGCATCGCTACTCCATGACTTTGGCATCTTACAGCAATACTACCGGGATCAGCCTCAGTCGCAGGAAACGAAGAAGATTCGTGCAGCTATGGAGCCACTTCTTGCCCTCATACCATCAGGGGTTTTGAGACCAGATCTCTTGCGACGCGAAGTCAAACAAGTTGTGTTCTTGTGCGAAAATCGTATCAGGCGGAGCTTAGGATGCATAGCCAATGCAGTTGCCTATCTCCACGAACACAATATCCGACACAAGGATCTCAAGCCCTCCCAGGTACTCCTGTCAACCCAAGGACTCTGGCTAGCTGATTTCGGCTGGTCTGCAGACATGTCGGAGCATGACAGCAGTACCACCAGCGGTGATGAGATGATGACCACCAAGTACCAAGCGCCGGAACGAGCGAATAGCGAACGCTGCGGACGTTCGGAGGATATCTTCTCGTTGGGGTGTATCTTTCTCGAGATGGGCTATGGTATGATATCATTAACTCGGGATAACCCACGCCCTTGGATGCAAAAAGGGTGGTCCTTCCAAGCAAACCTGGATGACATACAAGGCTGGATGAAGCCGTTGAACAAGATTGTTTGGAAAGAAAAGTTCTCCGAAGGTGCAAGCTTTCGTAATGTCACTTTTACTACCAGCTTCCCGCAGCTATTGATGCCAATGCTAGCACACGCCAGCAGCGACCGGCCCTCTATCCAGGATGTCCTGCACGCTCTTTCTGTCGCAACTTTCGTCGGCCACGGTAACAGTATGTTTATCGATGGGTGTTGTCGGCCGCACGCTCACGTCGAGTTTATCTGAGAGAATTTGGACTTCGAAAGACACGAATACATGACAGAAGAAAAATTGGAAACGACACGGTTACGGACACGACAGTCGATCAGACCAACTCGGTTCAAATACCATTGCATCAGTCGCCAGAGCCACTAGACGGGTCGCGGGGTCGCGGACGAGTCTCGATAGCACACCTTACAGCAGGTGACGCAGTGTATAGACACAAGGAGCAGAAGAACCAGATCCTACCTGGGTATGAGGTCCATCAAACAAACGACTATCCTGCCAACCCCGGATCGTTCACACACTCATCAAAGATCCGGGACGTGCTCCAGCGGCGGTACAGTGTTTAGACCTAGGGATCGCGATTTCCAGCAATGAAGGATTGTCAACTCTCTTAATCGCCAGTGGATAGACCATCTCTGGCTTTTGCTATGTCATTGCAGTTGTATGTCGATGGATCTCCAGCTCCGGACGAGGAGCGTCGAGACGCTGAAGCCACGGGGAGCTCATCTTTACAGCAACCAAAACGAGCTTGCATGGGGTGGTACAAGCACCAAGAATGAGCGTGGTGATACAGTATCGACGTGGTTTTTTATTCAGACTACATAGTCACCAACAGAACCATGTTTCTGAATATCTCTTATTTTACATGTCTCTCATATGCACTCTCGTCCTTACGAAGAGGCATTCATGTGGACGCAACTCCATAACGCCAGCCATGCATAGTTTTCTGGCTTATTAGCTCTTCTTGAGGTGAAAAGCAGACACCGAAAACAAAAACAATGCTCGGATGAAGAACGAGAAAATGGTGTAGTGGCACCGATAGAACAAAAGCAGCGCCTTATGACTTACTGGACTAGGTCCCGAGTTTCCCCAAATTCGCCGTTGACTGGCGTGTATTGTTTGTTCAAAGATGCCGGAATCGAAGTATTCGTTTGGTGAGGTGGTGGCCCAAAAGCCTCCTTCCATTTGAGAAAGGCCAAGGCAAGGGCGGCGTATATGCCAAAGCAACATGCCAGCTCACAACATGCCCGCGGCAGCCAAGTCGCGGTAGACCTTCTCCGGCATGACGTTGCCTTCGTTGTCCTCCATCTCGACCACGTTCTCCGCAAGCAGCTTCTGCTTCTTCTGGTCCTTCTGTATCTTACGCCACAGCTCCTCGGCCTCCTGTATGCTTGTAATCTCTCGGAAGAGGGTAGTGTTGGTGATGCCGAGACACTTGAGACCGTGGATATGACGGGGTTCGTTGAAGTGCTTGTCAAATGCGCGCCTGCCCATGTACACGAAGTTCCCGCAAATCTCGCAGGGGAATTCGACGCCCAGACCGTGGAGCTTGTAAAGCCAGAAGGGGATGGGCTTGCCGTCCCAGGCGAGTGGTAGCTTGAGCGGGTTGTAGATCTTGTCTTCGCTGTCGGAGTCGTTGTCCTCCTTTTCTCCGCCGTTCTCGGGCTGCTCTGCGTATAGCTGCTCTAGCTCTTGTTGGCGCTCGCGCTCGGTCATACCCTGCTTCCGCTCGACGTTGACCTTGGTGTCGCCGCGCTCCGTCTGCATGGCTGCAGCGAGCTTCCGTATCCTGAACTCGCGCTCGGCAACTGCTCGCTCCTTGAAGCGTTGCAAGTCTGAGGAGGCACCGTTCGCGTGCTTTTCGGCATCCTGCGCGCCGTTCTGACTCTCTTGTAGCGCCTTCTTGTGTTTCTTGCCGGACAAATGTGCTTCGTAGACAGTCTCTTTCGAGAAGCCTTTCTTGCAGGCTGAGCACCAGATGCCCTCTCCCTGCGCTTCACCGTTGACAGGTGCAGACGCCGTGGACTTCTTCTCCCAGCCTGGAACTGCGTCTTTCTCCCATGCCTCCTCGAACTCCTTGTCAAAGCTGGTGAAGAGCTTATCCAGGTTCTCTAGCGGCTTCGTCCGTCGCATGAAGCTCTCGAGGTAATCTTGTAGAGCTTTCAGGTAATGAAAGTAGGCCTCTGATTTCTTCTGATCGCGCCGGATATTGCATTGTGGAGGGGTGAAGATATCGAACTTGTCGAGGTACTCCAGATAGGTCAGACGGCGCGCGTTCTGCTGAACGGGAAGGTTGAGGTACTGCTCGTGCAGAGTCGTCAGGTCGAAGAAGCGACCAAAACCCTCCTCGCCGGTGAACATGGAGTCGATGGCTGCGATCGATGCCGTGTGGTCTTCGGGCGAGCGTTTCTTGTAGGCCTTCTCCAGGTTCTCGACAGGCTCGTTCGGGTATCGGCTGTGGAAGTCCTTGATGGATGCGATCTCCTTCATGAAGGACTCCATGGGGTCGCCGTGGGTGAGACCGCGCACCTCGTCCTCCTTCTTGCTGTCCTCATCCTGGTAGATCTTCAGTAGGCGGCTCGACTGGCTCTCGATCTGCTCCAAGAATCGCGCAATGTCGTGGTCACGTGCGAGGCGATCGCGAATCTGATGAGATGTTAGTACGCAGTTCGCGACGGACGCGAGGGTAATGCCTACATGCGGGGGGTCTTCTAGGAGTCGCTCGGCAGCGGCGTCCTCGAGGCGCTCGAGGTCCTCGTGGAGCTGGCGCTGATCTTCCAAAAGCATGCTTGCGGTCGCCTAGAGTAACTATGAGTCTTGGTATAGCAGCGGTTCGGTAGTGGAAGTGCAGACCTTTGCGGCGGTGACGATGTCGAGCTGGTGGTGGAGCCTGTCGCGGCGACATAAATCGCAGAACGCGCTAGTCAACGGGGCTAGCGCGCCGAGGCTCCGGCCCTCCGCAAAGCTGAGGCGCAACTGCTCCAAACTTTCCTGCACATCGCGAACGACTCGAAAACCACCAATCACCCATACCAACCCCGGCTTCACATTCACGATGGCGGACGGAATCGACCGAAATGCGGACGACAAGATCGAGTTCTCCACCTCCAAGGAGGTCACGGTCGCGCCTACCTTCGAGGCCATGCACCTGAAGGAGAACCTGCTACGCGGTATCTACGCCTACGGATACGAGTCGCCCTCAGCTGTGCAGTCGCGCGCCATCGTTCAGATCTGCAAAGGTCGCGACACCATCGCTCAGGCGCAGTCCGGAACAGGAAAGACCGCGACTTTCTCCATCTCCATCCTCCAGGTCATCGACACGGCTGTGCGCGAGACACAGGGTACGTCATGTCAGATTGGAGGTGCTGGACTATGCTAATCAGATGTAGCACTCGTACTATCACCCACTCGCGAACTTGCGACCCAGATCCAGCAGGTTATCATGGGTCTCGGCGATTACATGAACGTGCAATGCCACCCTTGCGTCGGAGGAACAAACGTCGGCGAGGACATCCGCAAGCTCGACTATGGTCAGCACGTTGTCTCTGGAACCCCAGGACGTGTAGCCGACATGATTCGCCGCCGCAACCTCCGCACACGCAACATCAAGATGCTCGTTCTCGATGAAGCCGACGAGCTCCTCAACCGAGGTTTCCGCGAGCAAATCTACGATGTCTACCGCTACCTCCCACCTGCCACCCAAGTTGTTGTCGTTTCAGCCACCCTCCCATACGATGTGCTCGAGATGACAACCAAGTTCATGACGGACCCCGTGCGCATTCTGGTTAAGCGCGACGAATTGACGCTAGAGGGCCTCAAGCAATACTTTATCGCTATCGAGAAGGAAGAGTGGAAATTCGACACCCTGTGCGATCTCTACGACACGCTCACCATCACACAAGCAGTTATCTTCTGCAACACGCGCCGCAAGGTTGACTGGTTGACGGACAAGATGCGCGACGCCAACTTCACTGTATCCTCTATGCACGGAGAGATGCCGCAGAAGGAGCGAGACAGCATTATGGCCGACTTCCGTCAGGCCAACTCTCGCGTGCTCATCTCGACCGATGTGTGGGCGCGTGGCATTGACGTGCAACAAGTGTCGCTCGTCATCAACTACGATCTGCCATCGAACCGTGAGAACTACATCCACAGGATTGGTCGAAGTGGACGATTCGGACGCAAGGGTGTAGCCATCAACTTTGTCACTCAAGATGACGTCCGCATCCTCCGTGACATTGAGTGTAAGTACCATTCAGCTTTTTCTTCAGACATCCGCTAATCCTCATAGTGTACTACTCTACCCAGATCGACGAAATGCCCATGAACGTTGCCGACCTCCTCGCGTAGAATCTCGAGCAGAATATTTGCATGCGATCGAACACGGGGGCACAGCAGAGATTCACGCTCACCGTACTGAGGTCACAGAGACTCTCACTCAAAGGACACGCCCGCTTCGGCGGCGAATTGGAAGTGGAGGAAGGGGCTCTTTAGCCGAACAGTAAGCCTACCTCTGTCGCAAGGCGTCTGTCACCTGGCTAACTTTGCGACTCTGACCAGAACGAAATTGTAATCAATACCCATAACGTACTCACAATTTATGACACCGATCACCAGCCGATAAATTTTGGTGGCGGTACCTCCGAGATCAGATCTGGTTCCGACTATCGCTATCGTTACACAATGATTGGCAGTTTGCGATATACTCATGACACACAGTTCCGGTCACATACTCATTGAAAACCAACAAATATTCTTGTGCCACGTCACGACATATCCGCAATTCTACGAGGAAGGAAATCTAATGAGTTAAACGCCCTTGGCAGCTGGGCCCGCAATCTCAACACAAGATCTTGCTGTCCTAGCGGAAGTAATTGAAGATGGCCTCACTCTGTTTTGGGGCCACCCCATGAGTCGAGTGGTTTGTTTCCGCTATAGCGTTCTCTGCACATCCTCGTGCATATCATTATCATCAATACGTCTTTCTTTAGTGGCAAACTCAACCACATGGCTAATGCGACATTGCACCTCCTGAGGTAACAATGAACCCGATTAAGGTAGCAGCGCTCTCCCTCTCCATGCAATGTGTTGAGTCTTCACCGTTGATGCGATATCACACGAGCTAGCCTTTTTAGCTGCAGTGTGTCAATGCTTCTGCTTAAGGCACAGTGGGGAAGCGACCGAGTCCTTGGTACAGTGACAATATGCTGCGCATGTTCACTGATAACGTAAGCAATATCTTCTGCCACTGAACGCATTGGAACGAAACATGCAGAGTGGTAGAGAGACCCTGGGGGCGAAATCAAACGCGAAGTGTGACCTAATGTCCGCTTGCGCGAATATAAATCCCACGAATTGCCCATGCAGAAGTGTTGAGAGTGCAACGTAGCGAAGAAAATTGAGACTGGCGAAAACTATGATCGATCATCCTTGAGTTGGTATGTCAGGTCGGAGACAATACTTCAATGTGTACCATCGGAGTACGCAATCACGTTCGATAGCGCATCGACATCAATCATCTACACGTATGGCACTCTTGTCCATTTGCATGTCTCTCTCCGCTCCGCCTTCGGCTTCCCCTCAGTCGCATCACAGTGCCATGGAACGGAGAGTACCAGCTTCAGGTGCTTCACCGGGGTTGGACCCTGCCTCATCACCCTCTCCGCTTCTCCGAGGCCGGAACCAAACATTGCCGCAATTTGAAAAGTCTCCGATGCCAACGATCTCTCTCATTTGAGGGGCACCTTTTCGTATGGGATGGTTGAGTGTTGCGGAAATTTTGAGGGGCTACATTGCGTCCCATCGTCGTACCAGTGGATGGAGTGGATGACAACCAAAATATCAAACCACACACAAACACACGAACACACTTGAGATCAGTCCCGAAGAATGAGGAAATGCAGGGTGAGAGTATAAACACGGCATATCCCCTCTTAGAGTCACTCATCCGCAAAAACTTCGACAGCAATCTACCATCTTCGACTTCGATAAAAGAAGCTCAAAGTACGATCTCTGCTCTTCTTACATCCTCTTCATCACTTCGAGCCAAAACAGCTAACACATCCCCAGTCACTACAAACAAAACGTACCACCTCCCCTTTCTACCACTCCACCACTCCACCTAACACTCCCTTCCCAGCAACCCAACCCGACCACCACAATGCAGTTCTCAACCATCCTCGGCGCCACCATGGCCCTCTTCGCAGGCGTTACCTTCGGCACCATGGAAACCACCATGTTTATCGAGCCTAAGGTAACCCATCGCATCGATACCGTCACCGTTACCGCTCGTGCCGTTACCGTCACCGCTGCTCCCTACGCCGCATAAATGGGTCTACCTCCTGGTACCTGTCCGTAGCATCTTGGTTGCAATGAGATGACTGGGGTTACGATAGGAAAAGGCCGGTCAGAAGTCCTGCGGCGAGTTTTTCTTGTGGGTAGATGTGTCTGACTGGTTGAGATTAGGATGCTGAAAGGTCCGGGAAAAGTAGATGGGGGATGTGATTCAATTCCATGTCTTGCTGTCTAATCCTTGTTGTTTTGCTTGCTTTGTGATGTGTGATCATGACATCGTCACAATAACACCAGCTGCATCTTCAGTTTTGAACACCATTGTGATACTGGTGCAGAAGAATTCCTTTTTGGAACGAGGTAAAACTGGTTCACATATTATCATTATGTTATGACACAGGTAACCGACCTCCATCCCACACACCACCATTTCAAGCCGTCGTATCGTCACCAAAAGCTAGTTGCATTCTTCGTGCGTGCGCAGCTCTTCGCTTAGCCTGTGCTGACATGGACTTCTTCGGAGCATCTCCGTTCTGACTTCCGTTGGAAGGCGCTGGGAGATTTTCTGCCTGTACTGGAACAGACGGAACTGGAGGAGGTATCTCTACCTGAACTGGGACTGATGAGGTAGTGGGTGGTACCTCCACGCGCAACTCTTGTTTTGGAGTGGGAAGTGGTTGCTCGTGCAATACGGGTGGCGAAAGTATGGCTTGTTGCGTATCCGTTGTCTGTTGCGTCACTTCTGTAGTGGAAGCCTGTCGCACTAAGTCTTCAGCCATTGTCTTGACAACTTTGTGGCTACGAAGTCGTTGCTGGAGGACGGAGAGCACGACGTCGTCATCGTCTAGCTCCGCTGGCGTCTCTGTTGCGCTGGCAAGTCGTTGCTGAAGGACGGAGAGCACGACGTCTTCATCATCTAGCTCGACTGGCGTCTCTGTTGCGCTGGCAATTATGGGCTGCGAGGGTTCTGGGGTGATGATCTGGGGCGGCGGCGGTGGTAGAGGATAAGACGGTGCAGTTACCGGAAGGACAGTGGCCTCATCCTCCGTACCAGGTGTTGTTGTAGTTTCGGCGACGGTGGTAATTGTGGGTGACGGTGTCGCATTGAAGGATCTGCTACTTGACGTTTGTGACAGCCTCTTCGACATGCGTTGTGACGGTCGCTGGCTACTCGGGCGACGAACTGGCTCGTCGTCGGTGAAAGTGGTAACGTTGACAAGAGCACTGGGCGATCGCAAAGTGTGTATAGATGTTGCATAGTGAGACATAGGCGACGATGTACGCTCCGCAGAGGCAAAGCTATTTCGTCGCAGGCTCGAGTCGTCTTCATACATCGACGGCGCATCCGCATCCCCCTTCTCATGTTGTGGTGGTTGCGCAAGGCCTTCGCTACTTGTAGGAAGCTGGCGGGGCGATGGCTGAGCTCCAGTGGTTTTGTTGGCGATGTTTGGTAGACTGCCCGTCATCGCATTCGGTTCAGGTGTTGTCTCGGGGACTACAGGTAACGCATGACCGGTTATTGGGGTCGACGTCACCGAGATCGATGGAATAGAGATTGTTGGACTGTTTGGCCATTCTCTACTCGGCAGCCTCTCACTCGCCGCACTAGGCATCACATAATCAGCCAAATCATCGATAAGTGACGGCTGACTCTTGAGATGAGGAAGCTCGGATGGCAAAGACCTGTGCTTTTCACTATGCCTTTGGATGTCTATCGACGTTGCTCGATACCGTCTCGCTACCATGGGGACGCTGACCGTAGCTTGTGTGGACAGAGTGGAGTCGGTACGTTCGATTGTTGCATCGCCATTATTCGATGAGGAAGGAGCGACATCGATGGAGGCGCGAGGTCTTGGTTCCCGAAGGGTGGATTGTCGGGAGTAGTCTGAGCGTGCTCGTGGTCGTCTGGACAGTGTCGAGCTTTCAGTACTGAATTCGCGGGATACCTGAGGGCTCAGGAAGGTCTGTGAGTTTTGCCTCTCCTCGATGTCCAAGTCAGCCGGCGTACTACCGGCCAGCTCTACAGGCACTGAATTGACACTACCGGCTAAAGGTTGTTAGTTGGACTCAAGTCTTGTCTATCGTGGATGATACTCACTTTCGACGTCGTCTTTTTCAGCTTCAGACGCCAATGTAATGTTTGAGGCGGAGACGTTCGCCTGATTTGTTCGGTATTTCTGCCTCGAATAAGGTCCACGTAGCGCGTCTTTCTCATCATGAGGTACCCAAGGTCGTACCGGAGCCTCAAAAATGGGGGTCTCTGCGATAGCACCAGGCTTCCCACAGAGTTCTGCCGTTTGCATGACATAGATAGCACCAGTCAACTGAGCGTGGCACTGATCTAACAGCTGCTTCTTTTTGAGAAGTTTTTTCTGGTTTCTTAGACCCCACTCAAGCTTGAGCTTCGATGCAGCTGTGCCGCCATCTCCATCGTGGCCCCAGGCTTTGTCCATATCCATGCCGATTTCGTTAAGAGCACGCCGGACCTCGAGCAAAGAAGTCTCGATCCATCTCCGCTTATTTGGGTAAGCATCCAGGAAATTCGAAACGGCAGATGAGATGAAAAGGCGCGTCGCCTCATCGATGTCTTGTCGCACTTGTTGGATGATGCTCACGAAAGCGATGGTATCCGCAGAAGCCTTCTCGGTGGTGAGGACATAGTCCGCAAAGTAGTAGGTAGTCGGTATCGCTGGAAAGTCGCATAAGATGTCATCGGGCGTTTCCCTTGGAATAGCGGTTGACGGCCGCCGGTCCTCAGAGTTCCTAGGCTCCTGCTTCGGCCGCCCGATCTTGCGTTGGAAGTACTTCAGCCTCGTTCCTTCGGTCTCCGTAGGCGCTTGCGTGGGGAGGTCAGCCCGATGCAGTGTTTCCGGTAAGAACAAGCCAGCAGCGGGCAACATCGAAGTCAACGTTGGCATGAGCGTCGTTCGTATTACTTCAAGCTGATTGTACTATTGCTGTACAGAGTCTGAAAGTAGCTGGTAGCGCGCATGGGTTAAGCAATGGTAGCAGGCGACATGCGCCAGGTACACCAGGACAAACCCCGCAGAGAATGACGCAGTACTTGCTCGAAATAGGCACAGCCGGTGCGGATGTGCTGGTGTTCCAGTTTCGTGTGTCGGCCTGTCCGATGGAAGTATTTGCTAACAGCTACACATGGGATAGCTATCAGTCGATCACGGCACCGATGTAGCGGTAAAGTGTTGGTTGGGGGCGCAGAACAACAACTCAGCCGCGGGCACCGTACCGCAGAGTCATGCAGCGTTGTCGTCTCACGCCGCACAGCATAATCATGCCAATGTGGATGGGACGTCTCGCCGGATTTGGCATAAATTACTTACAAGACACTGGTCTTCGATCCAAACCTCGCTATTGGGCTACGCCGCAAGGATGCTGATTGCATGGACTACGCCTCAATGGGGGCCAAAACACATTCCATATTGGCCCCCATGCGCAAGATGCGGGTTCGGAAGAGGGAAGCGAGATCAGGCTAGGAGTTGGTCTAGCCGATTGGCCGTTGCGCGTAAGCCTTCGCATCTCGAACATGATGGATGACTCTCTTCATCGCAAGTGCAAGCGTCGTAGCGTATCGCCTTCCCCTGTTCGGCGAGGATATGAAGATGTAAGCACCGTTTTAAGCTTAAATTCATTCGATAGCAATGTGGTCATCATTGTGACGGCGGCAGCGGGAGACCTAGAGGCCTCCGCAACATGGAACTTCTTGAAGGTGGCACAGGTTCTACCTGTGAGCACAGTCGTACGCGAGGGTCTCCTTGCATGAGCCACCGACTCATGCATCCAACCGTCTCACCACAGCCTCGCTGAAAGGCCGCGGCGGACTGACTGGATTACCAGCCTCGTCCGCTACTTGCACAAGAGCGGGGAAAATGCACAAGTCCCCTGACGTGACACCTTGTTCCTCCTGCCACTCGAACTCCCATGCGCTAGGCTGGGAAAACAGCGTGAAAGCGAAAAGCGCAGCCCGCTTCAGTACTTCCTCAAGATTCCGCTTGCGCTCTCCATTGTTCATGCGAGAGTCTGCGTATGGCTGCAGAACGTTGTCTAGTGTTGCAAGCGTTGCCTGTATACTTGCATGTCGACTGTCGGAAGGACCGAAGGGATTGCGAATGTAGCTAGCCTGCATCAACTCTGCAGTCATGACCCGCCAGCGCGCCATCAATGATGTTTGAGCTGTACAAAGGTCAGTACTTCTATACTAGGAGACGAAGGAACTCGTGTCGCATACCTTGATAGCCACGATCTCCAGTTGCCACAGCTTGGTAGCATTGCGCGACTTCGGACGGCAAGAGGCTCTTTGAGGGATCTTTGGAGGGTTGAAGTTTTGAGACGATCACCCAGGCGATAATGAACCTTAGTGCAATCTCTCGGGTTGCAGCGTTTCCAATCAATGTAGTGAGCGTTCCTACCGAGACTGGTAGACCTGGTCCTAGTGCGTGTAGGTCCTCATAATCGATGAGACCAGGGTTGACACGGCTGGTGTGGTAGTAACTCTGGACATGGTTTTTGATGGCATTGCTTATCTTCGAGACATCGCCAGAGATGGCTTTGTCTTCCAAGGGCTGAGGAAGTCCACCACCCAGAGCAGCTACAGATGATCGTTTTCCGGCTAACGGTATAGCACTGGCGGAGAACCCTTTTTCCTGCGAAGCCAACGCATATGTGTCCGGTTGGGGATATTGATTCTTGGGCTGTCTTCTTCTGCGCCGGCAAAACCACAGAATGGCTCCAGCCAGCAGTGCACCTGCGGCAAAGCATCCAATCGCGATACCGGCGATGGCACCTGTCGAAAGATCGGAGCCTTCACTCTGGGGTAAGATTGGGACACTCGTGGCTGGAGAAATGGATTCTGACGGTCCAGTCTTAGTCGCCTGAGAGCTAGTTGAAGCAGGCGTTGCTGCAGTAGTTGGCGGAACAGCTGCACTTGTGGCCGGAAGTGATGTCGGTGGAAGAATCGAACTAGACGTCGGTGCCGTCTGAAACAGAAGATGTGGTGGCGATGGCCTTAAGTCCACGGACAAAATGTGTCCATCGAAGGTTGCAGTTGTGGCTGCTGCATTAACAATCAGCGTTGAAGTTTGCGGTGCCCCCGCTGGAGTAACCGTGGTCACTGTATAGATAATTCCTCTGCCGGGGTCCGTGATGGGGAGGAGGACCTGTACTGTCGCGACTGGCTTCTCCGCTAATGACAGCACGAGGGAGTACTGCATAGCAGGGTTACTTGTGATATCCGCACTGGCCCAGTCGACGGAGGGGGGTTGTTGATTTCCATCTCCCATCTTGAAGATGAGTTATTTTGCTCCGTAGGTAAGATCAACCGCCTCTTATCAATCGGGGTTTCGCGGACAATGTGATAATGTGAAGATGCAGCACGAGAATAGTCGACAAGAAAGTGGAATACGTCCCAGTCAAATCTCGGGTAATTGAGCAACTTGAGGGAAGTTAGCTTGCCGTGTAGAGATCGTAGAGAGTTTTAGCGATTACCGGCTGTGCTGTACCACGGCCTGTGTCGCAGCCACTAAAGAGGGGTACCTCCCCGTTTGGCGCTCACAAAAAGGTTAGACTTATCACAGTTTCCTCCCGAAAATCGCAAGCGAAACGGATTGAGGCCGAAAGGTGGATGGTTTAGCCAACCATTCGGCCTTATGCAGTCTCCCTGAAGTGCCTCGTTGCGGCCCCCAAGGCGCACTCGGCATGCATAAGGTGCGTATTCTTGGGTCCAAGATGCATGGGGGCCGAAATGGCGCGTATTGTGATCGGTCGAGAAGATGCTGTGCCGCAAGGCTGAGACATAGGGGCCGCCTCAAGGCACCTGCATCGTCTCTGCATCTTATAGATACGTGATCAGGCGGGAAGGCAACAACAAAGACCGCATCACCGACAACGAGACAAGATGGAGCGAAACGAGCGACCGCATATGATTGTTGGTGTAGACCTTGGGATGACCTGTGAGTTCTGGCGAGGCTGAGGAATTTCACGTGAGGAGGCGATTCCCAATTCGGATTAGTGTGCTGCGTTGGATCACGTGCTCTTCATCACACCAGCCCAAGGCTGATACATCACTCCAGGTACCGGCGTGGCATATGTGAACCTCTCCATAGGCAGCGAAACTGTCCGCTGGGTGCAGAAGTGGCCTGGACGATTCCAGGCGAACGAGAACAAAGTCCCAACGGTGGTCGTCTACCCAATTGGCTCCAAAGATCCGTCATCATGGGGCTTTCTTTCGGAGACCGCTGCAGAGACCGCGGCCGATGACAAGGAGTACAAGGAGTGGTTCAAGACATGCCTCGACCCAGAGAAGCTCCGCCGGAAGCAGATGGAGGATCCTGAAGGCGCACCTGAGAACCTACAGGAGGTTGAGAAGTGGTATGGCGACTATCTGCGGAAGATGTACGAGTACTTGTCGTTCAAGCTTGGCGGGGAGCTTTCTGGCATCGGCTGGGAAGAGGCTAGAATCGAGTTCATCTTCAGCGTGCCGACCACATGGGCTCCGATGCCAACAGTGGAGAACTTCAAACGACTGGTGAAAGAGGCGGGCTATGGGACGCATCCGCACCACGAAGTGGCGATAGGTCTTACGGAAGCCGAAGCCGCCGCGGTACATGTATCCACTGAGGCACCAGGCATTTTCCGCGAGAACGATGTCTTGCTAGTCTGTGACGCCGGAGGTGGGACAACCGATCTTAGCGTGCTGAAAGTCACTGGGACGGTCAACCAGGCTATCGATCTTCAGCAGATGGACGTTGTGTTTGGCGAGACCATCGGATCCGCTGCTATCGATTATGAGTTCGAGAGGCTGGTGATGCATCGGTTGACGCTCGCACACAGCACAAATCCTCTACCGGTCGACCCCGCGGATGCGGGATGGGAGATGATGAAAAGTCGAGACTTCCAAGCCGTGAAGTGTGAGTATGGCGCCCCAGACGACACACCATTATTCAGTATTGGAATTCCACGGGTTCCGCAAACGTACAGCAACTCTGATCCGGAAGTTCGAATTCGCAACGGCGAGATGACCTTTGAACGGCAAGACTTGCAGCGCCTGTTCGATAAGCAGATCGCGAAGCTGTTCAAGCTCATCGACACGCAGCTGCAATCGCTTTTTCAGAAGTTCCCGAGGGAGCATGTAGCGCATCTGGTTCTCAGTGGTGGGCTGGGCAATAGCGCGTATGTGCAATCGCAGCTGCGAAAGTACTATGCGCGCACCTCTTTCCCAAATGCTGAGTCGATCTCCGTGAGCATAGCGCCTGACCCTCAACTCGCTGTGTGCAAGGGTCTCGTCAGCGATCGTATGCGAAAGATCCTGACATCGCGATCGGTCCTCGGATGGCGTTGTTGTCGAGCGTCGTATGGCACAGTGTGCAAGATTGCGTATGACAAGAAGAACCCTGAGCATCAAGGGAAGGAGCTTGTTCGAGACCCACTGAACAACAAGCTGTACATCACGCAGTCGATAGCGTGGTTCGTCAAGAAGGGGGCGCCTGTCAGCGTGGACAAACCGATCGAGCACAACTTCATCAAGAAGGTCGACCCGGGCGATCCAAGAAGGGCATTTCCGACGACTGTCATCGAGAGTGACTTGGATGCGGCGATCTTGCCAGATCAAATGAACCAATGTATGTGTACAAAAGCTCTGCAGCTCCACCTGTACCCGTGAACAGCTTTCTGACAGCTTGCAGACACGCGCATCCTTTGCGAAATAAATTCAGACCTCTCTGCAGCGGACGAGAAGAAGTTCCAAGAGAAGAACAAGCACTTCTGGTCGTTGCAGAAGCACTATCTGCGCATCGAGTACTCGGTACGCGTCTTGATCGGACCTGCGGATATCCGCTTCGAGCTGTGGTTTGACGACCAGAAGCTTAGTCGTGATGAGTCGATCAGGGTAGAATGGATGCCTGCACAGATGCCGCAAACGTCTCAGATCGCCGAGATGTCCGGGGCGGAGAGAGAGGCTGTTGAGATGTCCAACACGCCGCCCACGCCCATAGGCGCTGCGCCCCCAAGTGGCGCATTCAAGACTGATCCAAATGCGAAAGCCATAAGGACAGGTGGTTTTGCGGTCGTCAATAAGAGGGCTACTATTGAGATGGGCAAGAAGCCAAGAGGAGTGGGTGGGCTATTTGGGAAGAGCTCTTTCTTTGGACGCGCTGCGTAGGATGGCGCCCTGGAGCTCTGGCCGCGATGGCGCGAACATGACGCGGTGCGCATCGGCGCGGAAGGCAGCTTCCGTTAGCTTCGCAGCAGACAGCACCAATTAATACCTTCGACCTACATCCTCATCAAGTACATGATACCAGGCTCTCTCGTTTGACTGGTCGCTATGTTGCAAACAGGCGAGGAGCCACTCAGCTCTAAGCCGGCCATCGCCCCGGTCACTTGCCTGTCTTGTGTTAACGTTACACCCATTGCGCTTTCAGCCCGTCAGCCTCGTCAGCCTTGACTGCAGGCAACGAGGTCACCGTCTACTTATAAGTATGGCGCACAATAGAGCTGGTTATGGATCAACACTCCTCAACTTTCTATCTTTCTGGCCAGAACAATTAATAACATGCGCTACGTCCCGTTTCTTGGTAAGAGGCCTGTTTTCACAGTTCTGATCACAACTGACGTAGTTGAAGCCACCGCATGCGGTCTGATCGCATCTATCGCAGCATTCGATATCTCGCCCCAAGAGGTACTAGACTCGAACACGCCCAAATTCTTGAATGAAGCAATCGATCCTTGTTCGTTGGCCGACTCCTCAAAAGCAAATGCGAGCGTTCAGCTTAGCAGTTGGTTAGAATGCGCCGTTAACGGTACGTACAAAAGATAATATGCTTGAGACCTCATCATGCTAATACAGGAATAGGATTCTATCCATACCCTGCGAACACGAACTGGCCCAACGGCCACGCGAAATCATTCTCGAAAGACGTTAAGTTCACCTTCAACGACACGCATTACGACTTCGATGGCTCACGGCGACTCTACACAATCTTCAACGCGACACTGGGCATGGCCTTTGCGCCTTTCAAGCATGGCCCTATCAACACCCTTGGTGTGCCCAACATAAATGGCGATAAAGGTGGCTTCGTGTACATGATCGGGTGGGCTGGTGGTTTCCAAACCCGCGTCAAACGCGACTTGTACTTCACAAACGCAGCATTCGCGGTAGTCAAAGAGGAGGACGGAGAAAGGAAGATTGTTGAGTTCCGAGAGAGCGGCAACATTCCCAACACAGCACCACTACCAGAGCCTGTCCAGTGGGGATGCTCTTTCGAGTAGCACACTCAGCGGCACCCATTGAAGGCTTCCAGCAAGGCAGCGCAGAAGCAAGGAGTTTGCACACGGCATCTGGCAGAGCTGCTGTTTCCTTGACGACAACACGGCATCCTCGCACCTGCGCATCTTTCGCGATGCCCCTATCCGACATAACCCCTCCTCACTTCCGCCATCTGTTTCTGCAGACCGTCCATCTTCTTGATTAATCGATTGAGAAACTCGTTCCTGTTCTCTTTCTCTGTGTCACCTCTGCCGTTGTTGATCCAGTCACAGATTCGTTCATCGTCTAGCAACTCGCTTTTCCGCTCCATGACCTCCAGGTTTGCCTCCATTTTCTCGGTGTGTGAGCGGATAAGATCAACACAGTCTTGCTGCTTTGTGACTGACTCGATAGCTGCAAATTCTTCGTCTAACTGCTTGAGCAAGTAAAGACTTGTCAATACGCGGTCGGCTCGATCTTCGAGGTCAATTAACATGGATGTCAGGTCTCGCAGTTGGCGGTCTTGAGGGTTATGAGCGTCGCCCATTGTGCTGAATTTTGCTGCTGTGGTTTTGAACATGTTTCGCATATCTTTTCTTGCTGACCTGCTTTTGTAGGCCGGAGTATGAAATAAGAAGCTGGTTTCGACTTCATGGGGGGATAACCACACATTCGCATATGTGAGTCGCGGAGTATCATTGTAGGATGACAATCACGTTTAGTCGTACTCTGTTCATTACTCGACGACTAGCCTACTGACATTCCATACTGTCAGCTTCACATTGCCTCGAACTTGGTTTACAGCTCAAAGCTGGCACCCGGAGTGCAATGCAGCCTCTAGGGACATGTCGACCAGTCGAACTCTTCCTCTTCGAACCCGTACCTCACATCAGCCCTGACCTCTTTCACCTTCTCCTCGATCATCTCCAAACTCTCTTCTAAATCCTCCTTGTCTTCCTTGGCGATTTCCAATGCGCGATGCGGCGCCTTCCCACCCACAACATAAGTGCCTGCGATATCCGTAATATCGATGCTGTT